CGGCCCCGCCTTTCGCTCAAAAAGGTTTTGCCCGGAAATTTTTCCCTTCAAGTTTTTTTTTTTAATGAAAGGGGGGCAGCTTTTCCCCTCAAAAAAAGTGTTTTTTTCCCGATTTTTCCCCCCCCCCTTTTAGTCGTTTTAAAGGGGCAAACTGCGTCCCAAAAAGGGGGGTTTTTTTCCAGATTTCCCCCTTCAGTGTTTTTCCCCGAGAGGGAGTGGTTGGTAAAAAAAAAAGGGGGGGTTTGCCCCCGATTTTCCCCCTTTTAAAAGGGGTTTAAAAGAGGGAAATGGGAGCTTCCCCCCTTTTTAAAAGGTTTGGGGGTGGTCCCCCTTTTAGTTTTTTTTTTTCCCGAGAAGGGGCAAAACTGCCCTCAATTTCAGTGGGGTCCCGTGGCCCAGTTTTCCAAATTCCCTTCACTTGGGGGGTGAGTGCAGCTTCCCCCAAAAAAGTGGGGGGTCAGTGGCCCCCGGTTTTTAGTCGTTCACTGAGAGGGCGCTTCGGGTTTAATTTCCCTGTTTTCCCCCTTTTTCGTCCCCCTTCAGTCCCCTAAAACTGGGGCCCGTTGGAAATGGGAGGGTTCCCCCTTTAGTTGGCTCAGTACAGTGGTGCCAGATGGTCCCGTTCAGTCACCTCTGAGAGTGAGTGCAGCTTCGCTCAGTACAGTGGTGCCAGATGGTCCCGTTCAGTCACCTCTGAGAGTGAGTGCAGCTTCGCTCAGTACAGTGGTGCCAGATGGTCCCGTTCAGTCACCTCTGAGAGTGAGTGCAGCTTCGCTCAGTACAGTGTTGCCAGATGGTCCCGTTCAGTCACCTCTGAGAGTAAGTGCAGTTACACTCAGTACAGTGTTGCCAGACGGTCCCGTTCAATCGTTCACTGAGAATTAGTGCATTTGCACACATTACAGTGTTGCAGATGGTTCAATTCAGTCATTCACTGACAGTGAGTGCAGTTGCGTTCTGTACGGTGCTGTCAAATGGTCCCGTTCAGTCGCTCACTGAGAGCGCAGCTGCGCTCCGTACAGTGTTGACAGGTGGTTCTCTTCATTCGTTCACTGAGTCCAGCTGCGCTCAGTGCGGTGTTGCCAGATGGACCTGTTCAGTCGTTCACTGAGAGTGAGCGCAGCTGCGCTCAAAACAGTGTTGTCAGATGGTCCCGTTCAGTCGTTTACTGAGAGTGCAGCTGCGCTCAGAACAGTGTTGCCAGATGGTCCCGTTCAGTCGTTCACTGAGAGCGCAGCTGCGATCAGTACAGTGTTGCCAGACTTTCCCGTTCAGTCGTTCACCGAGAGTGAGTGCAGCTGTGCTCAATACAGTGTTGCCAGATGGTCCCGTTCAGTCGTTCACTGAGAGCGAGTGCAGCTTCGCTCTATACAGTGTTGCCAGGTGGTCCCATTCAGTTGTTCACTGAGAGTGCAGCTGCGCTCAATACAGTGGTGTCAGTGGCCCAGTTCAGTCGTTCACTGAGAGTGAGTGCAGCTGCGCTCAATACAGTGGTGTCAGTGGCCCAGTTCAGTCGTTCACTGAGAGTGCAGCTTCGCTCAATTCAGTGTTGCCTTCTCGTCCCGTTCAGTCGTACACTGACAGTGAGTGCAGTTCCGCTCAGTGCAGTGTTGCCAGATTGTCCTGGTCAGTCGTTCACTGAGAGTTCAGCTGCGTTCAGTACAGTGTTGCCAGATGATCCCTTTCAGTGACCACATGCTTCAGTCTTAGGACCGGTGGTGTTTCTGGTATTTTGTGAACGACGTGACGGAAGAATAGACTCCCAAGAGTCCCTGTTTACAGATGATGTGAAGTTGTTGAGAAGAATTCAATCGGATGAGGGCCAGGCAGAATTACAAGAGGATCTGGAGAGGCTTCAGGGGCCAGTCATCCAATTAATTGTTGCTTTTTTGTTTGCCGTCCGATTTCCTTCAGTTTTGGTGCACAAGACAAATTGTTTTCTCTCTTTGCTGAAAATATTTATCAAAAATATACCTCAAACAGCAACTGAGAAAAGACTGAAAAAGGACTGATTTACAGAAAATGCCGTTTGGCAGGAAGGTGATCCTACATGGGACGACGTAAGGTTGTTTGGACACTTGGTGCCCAGACAACAATGCTAATACTCATTTTCCTCGAAGCCTTACCTCTAAATAACTTATCTTTATTTCACAAAAAAATAAAGTTTGTTAGTTCTTGGAATGTTGAAAAAAAATCTGCCCTTTACTCCCACATAACTCCCAAAGTATTTGGAATATTTCCAAAAATTCTCTCGACATTAATTAGAGAAATCATCATTATTTTACAATTTCTGTGAATATTATTCCACTTAATTAAGTAATAAAGGCGTACCTTAGCGAAATAAGTGAATAAGTTACTTCCGAGATATTGGCCTGGAGCGCTGGCCGGCCCACCGTCCCGAAAAAAAAAAAAAATCGCGAAAATCGCGTTTGTTTGGGTGTATTTCTTAGTAAACTGATGTTCTAGTGCAGTTATCCTCTTCAAAACACCGTTTTCTCTTACTCAAGGACGACATATGAGAGGAGTAACTCATTCATATCGAAATATTGCTGGTGAACTCTCGCCATATTATGGCTTATTTTATTCAGTCTAGAGTATATAACATGTTTGTATGTTGTTTATAGTGTTTATTGTATCCTATTAGATCAATTCTGATAGATAAATAAGCGGTAGAGTTGATATATAAGCTGATATAAGCGTAATATTGAAGAGATTTCTCCTGGCTATCTGGAGCGGGAATACTGCCCAGTGATCTGATTGGCTGGCACTCTACGGATAAGCTCCACCTACTCTTATATGACGCCAAATAGTCAAATATTATATTAGGAAGAATAATGCAAGAAAAAGCGATAAAAACAAGGAAAAAATTACAAAAAGTATATGTGCTGTGAGCAGACGCGCTACCCACATCGCCGTCACCATACCTGCCAACTTTCTGTACTCGACTGAAGAAGCCTACTGTGTAGGCGAAACGTTTCGGAATAAAGTTGCCTAAATGTTGCTTATGTGTCTTATCTGCCATACCTGATATAAATGACTATAATTTCTTGTAGAAACGTCATAGAACATTGATTCTTGTACCATTGTGTTGCCAAAGAGTTAAGCTATTTTTCTATTTGAATAACTCAATTTCCATAATTTCTCGATTTTTTTTTGAGCGCGCGCGGAAAATTGCATGAGAGGCCCCTTCAGCATGGTCCAGCAACTGACTCCTGGAGCTCAACCCCACCAAATGTAAAGTCATGAAGATTGGTGAAGCTCAAGAAGACCACAGATGGAGGACACTCCTTGAGGTCAGAGACTTCATACCTCACTCAAGGAACAGGATCTTGGGGTGAGTATAACACCGAGCACATCTCCTGAGGCGTGTATCAACCAAATACCTGCTGCAGCATGCCGGCGCCTACCAAACCTTGAGTTTTGAATACCTAGTTGAGTTACCAGTGGAGAATGCAGCAGTACAAGAACAGCAAGAGAAGCCAAACTTCAATAAAGGGGACTACATAGGAATGAGAAGTTTCCTGCATGAAGTGAAATGGGAAAGACAGTAAATGAAATGATGCAACTAGTGACCACTAAGTGCAGGGCGGCAGAGATGTTCGTACCAAAGGGTAACAGAAAAAATGGTAAGATCAGACTGAGCCCATGGTTTAACTGGAGGTGCAAAGAATCCAAAGCCAAGTGTGCTAGACCATGGAAAAGGTATGGAAGACAAAGGACTCAAAAAAACAAAGAGTTGATCAGAAGAACCAGAAACGAATATGCAGGGACAAGGAGAGAGGCCCAGAGGCAATACTAGAACGACATAGCATCGAAAGCTAAATCTGAACCAAAGTTGTTATACAGTCACATTAGGAGAAAAAACAACAGTCAAGGACCAGGTAATCAGACTGAGGAAAGAAGGAGGGAAGTGACCAGGAAGGATGTAATGAACTAAACACAAGATTCAGAGAAGTATTTACAAAAGAAACAGGAACGCTTCCAGCAAAGCGTGGAGATAGGGTGCACCAGCAGGTGCTGGGCACACACATACGGGGCCAGGAGCTGTGAGTCGACCCCTGCAACCAGAACTGGCGAGTACAATTAGGTGAGTACACATGAACAGACACACAGGTGAGTACAGGGCTACAAATAGACCAGGACAGACTCGAAGCCTGGTCCAGGAACTGGGTCTTTGAATTTAACCCCCAAATGCCAAGTTATGAAGAACGGGAATGGGCAAAGAAAACCACAGACAGAGTAGAGACTTGGTGGCCAAAGACTGCAAACATCACTCAAGGAAAAGGATCTAGGGGTGAGCATAACACTGGGCACATCTCCTGAGGCACACATCAACTAAATAACTGCTGCAGCATATGGGCGCCTAGCAAACCTAAGAATAGGATTCCGACATCTCAATAAGGATTCGTTCAGGACCGTTTGTACCGTGTACATGGGGCCTATATTGGAGTGTGCGGCACCAGTTTGGAACCCACACCTAGCGAAGCATATAAAGAAATTAGAGAAAGCACAAAGATTTTCAATAAGACTAGTCCCAAAGCTTTGGGGCATGTCCAACGTGGAGAGGTTAAGAGAATTCGACCTGACGACACTGGAGGACAGGAGAGATAGGTGGGATATGATAACGACATATAAAATGCTGAGTGGAATTGACACGGTGGATATAGACAGGAAGTTCCAGAGATGGGACACAGCAACAACGGGTCACAGATGGAGGTTGAAGATTCACATGAAACAGGGATGTTAGGAAGTATTTCTCCATCAACAGAGTTGTTAGGAAGCGGAATAGTCTAGGAAGGGATGTAGTGGAGGCAGGATCCATACATAGCTTTAAGAAGAGGTATGATAAAGTTCATGGAGCAGGGAGAGTGACCTAGTAGCGACCAGTGAAGAGGCAGGCCAGGAGCTGTGACTCGACCTCTGCAATCACAGCTACGTGAGTGCAAACAGACCCACAAGCACTCTCACCCCAGACTAGATCACTATGGCACAAACATGGACATAACACCATCCTTATAAATCAATATAATACTCACCATTAACTTCAAACGACTGTTGCGTGATGTAATTGTTTGCTTTGATATTGAGAGCACAGTCACAGCGTGAATTATTTAATAACATTTGAACAATATCAGCATTGTTGTTCTCAGCAGCATAGTGTAGTGGTGTCCGGCCATCATCATCCTGACAGTTGACGTCAGCACCAGCATCAAGCAGCATCTTAACACAATCATCATAACCCTCCGCAGCTGCTATGTGAAGAGCTGTTACACCTGCAACACAACAAACATGTTTAATTGATGACATATAATTCTTAAAACTTATTATTAATAATTGTAGTACTAATACTACAACTACTGCTACATCTAATAATAATAATAATAATAATAATAATAATAATAATAATAATAATAATAATAATAATAATAATAATTCTTGAGGTATGATGAGTATAATTATCCCTAGGGGGTGTTATGTCAGTATTTCAGCAACTGAATACTGACAGGAATGTACACTCACATGTGTTGGACTAAAAAGCCGCCCATAACCGGGTTTATTGTAAGTTACTAGATGGTATCTTGGTTCTCAACTGCGCAGTCAAGTGACCCCCAGTAAGTCATAGTAGACTTACCTGAGTATATATATCGGACCCTTATTAATAACCCGGGTATCGGTGTCTTGACTGAAGCAGACGTGTTGTGAAGATTGTGGCGCTACTCCGTCAGGAAATTCGTAATACTCGTGTTTACACTGTTCATCAAGTATTGCCATTTATTCACAGTGATATCATTGAAGAAGCTGATCACACTTCTCTCTAAGTGTTTTGCTGTGTAATTTGAGATTCTTTCATGCACACAAACGCGCGATCACTATAGTCTTTGTTATTACAGTTGCCTCGACTAAGTCTAAAAGGAATCTACCTTGCTGCGCCCCTCTCTGACCTGACTTGTCCTCATATATAGGATTCACTGATACAAAGCAGATTTGCCTTCCTTGCCAAACTGCAACAATCTGCAACACAAATGCTTGATTTCTTGATATATGTCAATGACTGGGAGTTCATTAAGTCCCACATGTGAATAAAGTGAGGTAGAAGTTTTCCTGTACCTTTCCTGTTGTGGTACAGAGATTAATTACTCTCGTTATAACTCAAATTGGTTGCAAGATGTGACTCTTGCAAGGTGTCACATGACCTATGACTGGTACATGCTGGTTAAACATCTGCTTGTAATTACTTGATGTGGAAGTAAACAAGATGCTAGCCCCTTCTGAGAGGGCTGGACCCCTTCTGAGAGGGCTGGGCCCCTTCTGAGAGGGCTGGGCCCCTTCTGAGAGGGCTGGGCCCCTTCTGAGAGGGGCCGGGTCCTTCTGAGAGGGCTGGGCCCTTTCTGAGAGGGCTGGGCCCCTTCTGAGAGGGCTGGGCCCCTTCTGAGAGGGCTGGGCCCCTTCTGAGAGGGCTGGGCCCCTTCTGAGAGGGCTGGGCCCCTTCTGAGAGGGCTGGGCCCCTTCTGAGAAGGCTGGGCCCCTTCTGAGAGGGCTGGGCCCCTTCTGAGAGGGCTGGGCCCCTTCTGAGAGGGCTGGGCCCCTTCTGAGAGGGCTGGGCCCCTTCTGAGAGGGAGGGCCCCTTCTGAGAGGGCTGGGCCCCTTCTGAGAGGGCTGGGCCCCTTCTGAGAGGGCTGGGCCCCTTCTGAGAGGGCTGGGTCCTTTCTGAGAGGGCTGGGCCCTTTCTGAGAGGGCTGGGCCCCTTCTGAGAGGGCTGGGCCCCTTCTGAGAGGGCTGGGCCCCTTCTGAGAGGGCTGGGCCCCTCAGGGCTGAAATGCACTAATACCCCCCTTCTGGAGAAAATTTCTACACAATAATAATAATAATAATAATAATAATAATAATCTAGTAGTAGGTTGTAGTAGCTATAGCAGTGGAGCCTACTCTGAAGTGGTGGTTTGAAAAGTAAGCCTGTAGATGTTTTACGAGAGGATTGCTGGTGTTTTCTGTAGTACTGGCCCTAGAGGTGTTCAGGTACGGCTACTTCTGATAGCACTAGGTCAATAATAGCTGTTACATAGATGAGTAGTCCACCCAGCCTGAGTTTACCCCTAATTTTACATTATAGTATAGTATATGTATAATTTTAATATCTCATGGATAGTGAAAGTAATATATGTAATATGTATAGTAAGTAGCATAATATATAGTAGTAGTAGGTAGTAACTATTGTATTAGTAAAAGTAAATAGCAAAGGGTATAAACAGTATGTAGGTAGTAGTAGTGAGAAGTAATAATATAATAGTATAATTATAAAGCATAGTATAGTAATATAGTAATAGTAGTATATAGTACATAAGTATAATATAGTATAGTAAGTAATATATAATAGTAGTAAGTAATATGTATAGTAGTAGTAGTTAGTAGTAAGAAGTAGTATGTAAAGTATAGCCGTAGTAGTATAGTAGTAGTTAATGTTTAGAGTAGTAGTATAGTAGTAGTAGTGGTAATATTAATAGCAGTAGTAGTAGTAATAGTAGTAATAGTAGTAAGTATAGTAGTAGCAGTAGTAGTAGTAGTAGTAGCAGTAGTAGTAGTAGTAGTAGTAGTGGTAATATTAATAGCAGTAGTAGTAGTAGTGGTAATATTAATAGCAGTAGTAGTATATAGTGTAGTATAGAGTTAATATAGTAATATATAGATAGTAGGTAAAGAGTAGTAGTAGAGAAATAGTAAAAAGTGAAAAAAATATAGTAGTAGTATAGTAGTAAGTAAATATAGTAGTATGATATTAGTATATTTGAAATAGAGTAGTAGTAGTAGAGTAGTATAGTATAGTATAGTAAGATAGTAGTAGTAGTAGTAGTAAGTAGTATAAGCATAGTATATAGTAGTAGTCATAGTAGTAGTAGTATAGAGTGAAATACATAGATGAATTATTTTTGTATTATAAAATAATTTTTTATTAAACATGGGTAGTTTTACCCGGGAATAAAAAAAGAAGGGAAAAAATACATAATTATTATTTTTTAATTTTTTAAATTTTTTATAATAATTTTAGACATTTTATTATTTTAAAAAATTTTATTAAATTTTATATTAAAATTTATTTTATAAATGAAATTTAATAAAAAGTAGATAAATTAATAATTAAGTAATAATAAAATAATAATAATAAAAATTTAATATAAATAATAATAATAAAATAAATAAAAATAATAATAAAAATAATTAATAATAATAATATAATAATAAAATATTATTAATATATTATTATTATTATTATTATTATTATTATATTATTTTAAAAAAATTTTTTCTTTTTTAAAAACAAGGAAAATTTCCACCCTAAAACATCGAAAAGGGGCCTAACCTTAATATTTTTTTTTTTTATTTTATGTCATAAAATTTTTCTTTATTTTATTATTTTTAATTTATTTTCTATTTTTAGTTTTTATGTTAATTTTTGTTTTATTATTAATTTTTTTTTTTTTATTATATTTTTTATTTTAAATTTATTCCCCCTTTTCCATTTTTGTAAACCGTCAAAACACTTTCCCTGTTTTTGATCCCGGCCCTCCAACCTTTTTTCTGTCTTTGTACCGTCAGCCCTCCACTTTTCTCTGTCTTTGTATCCGTCAGCTCCGCACTTTTCTCTGTCTTTGTATCCGTCAGCCCTCCACTTTTCCCCTCCCCTTTGTATCCGTCAGCCCTCGCACTCTTCTCTCGTCTTTGTATCCGTCAGCCCTCGCACTCTTCTCTCGTCTTTGTATCCGTCAGCCCTCGCACTCTTCTCTCGTCTTTGTATCCGTCAGCCCTCGCACTCTTCTCTCTTCTTTGTATCCGCGCCCTCCACTCTTTCTCTCTTTGTATCCGTAGCCCCGCACCTTCTCTGTTTTTGTATCCGTCACCTCCCTCTTTCTGCTTTGTACCCGTCAGCCCTCGCACTCTTCTCTCGTCTTTGTATCCGTCAGCCCTCGCACTCTTCTCTCGTCTTTGTATCCGTCAGCCCTCGCACTTTCTCTGTTTTTGTATCCGAGCCCTCGCACTCTTCTCTCGTCTTTGTCCCCTCAGCCTCGCACTCTTCCTGTCTTTGTATCCTCACCCTCCACCTTCTCTCGCTTTGTATCCGCAGCCCTCGCACCTCTCTCTTTTTGTACCTCACCCGCACTCTCTCTTCTTTGTATCCGCACCCCTCCACTCTCTCTCGTCTTTGTACCCGTCACCCTCCCCCTTTTCTCTCGTCTTTGTACCGTCGCCCCCACTCTTCTCTCGTCTTTGTATGTCAGCCCTCGCACCTTCCTGTCTTTGTACCGTCAGCCCTCCACTCTTCTCTCGTCTTTGTATCGTCACCCTCGCCCCTTTTTCTCTCGTCTTTGTACCCTCAGCCCCCACCTTTCTCTTCTTTGTATCCTGCCCTCCACTTCTCTCTCTTGTATCCGCACCCTCGAAACTCTTCTCTGTTTTGTACCTCACCCCCACTTTTTCCCCTCCTTTGATCTGCACCCCTCCACCACTCTGCCCTTGTACCCGCAGCCCCCATTTTTCTCTGTCTTTGTTCCTCGGGCCCTCCCTCTTCTCTCTTTTTTTGGGGATCTGTCAGCCCCGCACTCTTCTCTCGTCTTGTATCCGTCGGGCCCCGCACTCTTCCTCGCTTTGTATCCTCAGCCCCCAAACTCTTCTCCCCTTTTTGTATCCGTACCCCGCACCTTCTCTCTCTTTGTATCCGTCAGCCCCCACCTTCTCTCGTCTTTGATCCGTCCCCCCCACTCTCTCTCGTCTTTGTATCCGCACCCTCGCACTTTTCTCTCGTCTTTGACCGTCAGCCCTCCACTCTTCCTCGTCTTTGTATCCTCAGCCCCGCACTCTTCCTCGTCTTTGTACCTCAGCCCCCACCTTCTTCGTCTTGTATCCTCAGCCCCGCACCTTCTCTCGTCTTTGTAACCGTCAGCCCTCCACTTTTTCTCTCGTCTTTGTATCCGCCCACCCTCGCACTCTTCTCCGTCTTTGTTCCGCAGCCCTCGCACTCTTCCCGTCTTTGTATCCGCACCCTCGCACTCTTCTCCGTTTTGTATCGTCAGCCCCGCACCTTCTCTCTCTTGTATCCGTCACCCTCGCACTCTTCTCTCGTCTTTGTATCCGTCCCCTGCCCTTTTTCTCTCGTCTTTTTTCCCCGTCAGCCCTCCACTTTTCTCTCGTCTTGTATCCGTCGCCCTCGCCCCTTTCTCTTCGTCTTTGTATCCGTCAGCCCTCGCACTTTTTCTCTCGCTTGTATCCGTCAGCCCTCCCC